CTGCCGATGCTTCTGCAAGTGATTTGCTTCTGCTTCTGCTGTGCCTCTGCTACCGCTGTGCTATTGTGACTGCTATACTACTGCTTCTGCTGTGCTTATGCCACTGTTACTGCTGTGCTTCTGCAACTGCAAATTTCACTTTTATAATTTTGCTACTGCTATTTCTGAACGGAACATTAATAACATTGCCTGATTTATATAAGTCGGTAGTTTGGAGATTTTTAACATTCTTGGATCTTCTGTATAACCTCCTTAAAATTATGGAACATGATTAAAATGAAGATTTCTTTTGCTTGAACATAATCAAAGTAATGTTTTAAACAATTGAATAATATTTTAAATGAAAATTACGTGTACCATTAACATGAGAGATATATAATTTAGTTCTACTAATTTTGTAACATAGTTAAAGTTTGTTCCCTGCCCTAACTCCTATATGAACTTGTATCCCAAATGTTGTAAGTGGTGTTTTTCTAAAGACAAATCAACACCTTTTAAAAACATGGTAAAGGCAATCAATAATTTTACTGAGAATGAAATGCACTGACTGATACGATAAGTATATCTCATCAGCACAGAAAATATAGAAAAACAGAAGCTGTTTTATGCAATTTTGAAAACAAGCAGACTGCATATAAACCATAGTTTAATATTTGTGCAATGCACTGAACTGTATATTAAAATGATTATTCTAAATACAACAATCGGTCAACTGTCTCGACTTCGTCAATGGCACATTTATTCTCGCTATCAATGTCTAAATGTTGTACTTTTCTTGTCCCTTTTGCTTCATTACCGAAAAACATTTCAACATCTGTTTTTTTTATATTTTCGGTTATCCCAGTACCAGCATGATACAATTCTGGGGCTGTATCTAAAGTTTTAAATAAAATATGATGATGTGATAAAATTTTCTTGATGGACCTCGTTGATAAAGTATCTACTTTTTATATTCGAAAACACCTTTTCAATATCAAATTGTCATTTGATAATAACGTCTTAAAGGAACAAAGGTTTTATAATTACTTTTGTGACTATAAAATCCAGTGCAAATGACCGCTCAATAAAAAATAATGCGAAATGCAAAGAATACGGATACGAATTTAAATATTTTCCTGCAAACAGGTTCTTTCTAAAGATTTTGGATATGTGACCAGACTCTGGAAGTGTTCACCTGACGTTCCGAAAGGTAGCGTATAAAGGCAGCTCTTTTTGATATAATAACGTCAACCAAAGTTCCTTACGTTATGTCAACAGTCTACATAATTTTGGGACATCCCTCATAATTAAAAAGTCTTTAACAAAACACTAACGTGCTATATTGCATGTCTTTTTGTACAAACTCATTGATCTAGTATACATTTCAATAATAATAATTTATCGTTGCAATATGATACTGCAGAAATAAAGTGCCAATGTTACTAAAAATTGAATAAACGTTTGATAAAAAATCATACAATTTTAATCATAAATGCATGATATATCAATGATAAAATTTCTAAAAAAATGCTAACGTTAACATTTTCATTTATCAAAAATAACCTTTTGTCACATCTTTCCGGTGTAATACTTTTGTGACAAGTATGCCTTTCTTGAAGGTAAATTCTTGCAAAACAAAACATATCTGTGGAATAATATTAAGGACATTGTTTGAATTAGCCATTAAGGACATAGGTATTTATTGGATTTCAAAGTAAATCTTACGGATTTTAAAGTATGGCATTACGGTATACATGGTTCATGTATGACTTAAAGATACAACACTTGCCTTAGTGACAAGGCGGAAATACTTTCGGTTTCAATTTAGTGGTTATGAGATTAAAAAAGAAATTATGGGAATTAATCAATGTTTTATCCACTTATGCTGCACAAACTTATCAGAAAATAAAAGAAGAAAATGTGCCAAATTAGTTGTAAACCTTTACGAAGGTTGTTCACTACGAGTCGGGTGTTGTACTGCAACGCGATGACACTTTGAACGATTTCGTGGATGATGTTATGCAGAATTGCCCTATTTAATATCTTTCCAACAGTGTAAACACTACCATTCAGCTTAACTCATTTGTAAGCTAATCGCAATTTTAATACAGCCAGTCGTTGACCAGTGTTATAAAAAATGGTTGAGAAACTGATTTGGAATTTTAAATAAATAAGAACTTATATCATTGTTCCACCAAAACCCGGTCATTCGGTAAAGCAGATCTGTACTGAAGTGGGGGAAGATTGTGTGTCTGATAAACACTATTTGTGAGACAGTTCGTTTGTGGAGACAGAATATCTGACTTTCTGTCAAAAGTTCACGTCAGAAAAGTGAAAGAAATTATTAAAAATAATGGAAAGTAAAGGATTCGTGATATTGCCAAAGCTGTTTTGAAAGTGCAAATCATTTATGCCAGATGAATTTCACATTTATTGACAGATGACCAAACTAAGGGTACGAGTACAAATCGCTTAGAAATTGTTTAAATGCTCCGAACCTAATCAAAGACAATTTGCAAACACTGTTACTGGTGGCTAAACATAGGTTTACTATTTTGAACAAGTCAGAAAAATTGGAAACAAAATTAAACATGGTAGTAGGTCTGAATTTCCAAACGTATCATCAGCACAAGAATGTCTATTATTGCATTTTCTTTATACACATTACTAATAAAACAACCCCTTGTATATACACAATGGTTAATGTGTTGCCGATCTCATGTTTTTTAAAGGGAGATAAACTGTGAGCAACCTATTTAAAAAAGTGACACGTTAAGCTTTGTCTGGAATTTTCATTAAAAGCTATCAAAATCACCCAATTGCTCCACGCCTGTTTATACCGACCTGAGATTTATTTGCATTTATTTGCTGGGTTTGGCGGAGCAGTGATGATCTTGCTTGCTATATCAATGCTTCTGTGTTTGCCAATTCTTCCCTGTAAATATTTCAAGTTTGATGAAGCTATATTCCAATAACAATGTCGGAAATAAACCTTGGACCACCACTAGCACACGTGGACCGGAGCCCAATCAGTAATAGTTGAAGCTAACATGACTACTAGCTTTTTGGCTAAAGTGAACATATAGTGCTCACTTTATGATGAACGTTAATGATCAATTGCCATTTACCTGTCGTCCGATATTTGTGCACTATTTGATGTTATTCTCGAGCAAACTTTCATATCATTCGCTCACTTCGGGTTTTCCAGAAAAATAAACATGTGCGAATGTGCAAACTGATCTATAAATGAAAATCGTTGCAATGCATTGAAATTTATGGCATATGTAATTAGATTTTGATTCAGATGAGAACACAATTTCTTGATTGACTCTTGTCAATTTTTACATGTTTGTGCACCAATTGAGTTAAAGAAACCTTTGTGAAAATAAATTACTTTGTTTCCCCATATAATCGTATTTTTCCCTTATTTAATATACTTAATTAGTATGTATCTTCATAACTTGCCTTTATATAATATTGATGGGTTTGAGGTCCCTTCATGTCATGGTCAACCCTTTCAATGTTTAGACTAGATTAATCTTCTATCTGGCATAAAATCATTCATTTGTTGATCGTTGAAATAAGGAACATTGCATTAAACTAAATTTTAAAAAGGATCTAAATACATATACGTTATACTCAAATCAATAAAATTTGTTATTGACTTATTATTTCCTTTTATATAAGACGGCGAAAGAACCAAATTCCTTTTCAACCTTTACCTATTGCACAAAATTAAAATGATGGTTTGAATCATATTTCATTATTCATTTTAAAGTCAACTAAATTTATTGTTAAACATTATACATGTATTCTGTAATAGTAAATACAAGTTGAGAAGTTAGACATTTTAAATCGGATTTCTATTACGAAATCAAATAATTATTTTGCCAAAGAGACATGATACGGCGTATGCTAGGGTAATAACATAGAATTTGCCGGCTCTGCACTTTATCCCATACAAATAATAATGAGAAATTATTATAATAACAAATACATTTTGTATTTGTATTTAGAGATATCACAAAAAGTCAGGTTGTATCGGTACCATGCTTATCAATGTACCTGGACATAAGCATTTAATTATTGATTAATTATATAAAAAATATTAGTTGTTTCCTTACAAGTGACGTAAATTTTATTATTATACCTTTACCTCTCTGTTTTTCAGTAGGTAACGTCTCCGTATTAATCACTTGAGTTTTTCTCGAAGCACTGCTTAAGCATATGCCTTTGTGAAAGAATTTATTTCCTCATTAGATATGAAAACTAACAATATATAAAAAATCACTATAGTTAAGAAAACGCAAAAAGTAATTCATATCATGTTGTATAGCAAAATATTAGAAAGCTTTTTCAAAACATATTGATAAGTATATTTGAATTTGACGTACATTGTTTTTTGCTTGTTTTGGAATATGCAATTAGATTTTGATTCTATTAAGAAAAAAATTTCTTGATTGACTCTTGTCAATTTTTCCATTTTTGTGCACCAATTGAATTAAAGAAACCTTGGTAAAAACAGTTTACTTTGTTTCCCCACATAATACTCGTAATTCTTCCTTAATATACATCGTATGTATCTTCATAAAAACATATTGATAAGTATATTTAAATTCAACATATTAAATTATTTTATTGCTTAACTGCGATTTTACCTTTAAGACTCGCCGGTACTTTTAATCAACATATATTAGTTAAATTGTGTAGCACATATGTAGCGGTATTGATTGTTGTAGTAAAGTTTAAAAAAATATCAAAACATTGCCTGATCATATATTGAACATTTGCTTTGTATTTTTATTTATGGTTTCAAATATTCAAAAGTAGGATAACACATCCCTCTTCACAAAAACACACAAGATACTTCATATCAATAAGGTAAGCTAAATTGAAATTTATATTAAAGTCCTTCATTTTTATTATATTTGCTGATAAACATAAATTACGTTAATCTTAAAGAATAAATAAAATAAAATGTCTTTTATGACAAGTTTTGTTTACGTTGTGATAAAGGTTAAATTTGGCAGAATATTTAGTATCAAGGAATATATCAGAAAAATATACATAATTCACTTGGACACAGATATAAGATCAGACAGTCACAGTTGTTTTTGAAAAAAATCGCTTGGATTGTTTGGTAAAATTCAATTTATTAAGATTAAATTGTTCTTTAAAAAAATCATCATTTAATTTTTAAATACTAATTTTACTACAATATTTCTAATTTGGTGCATAAAGTTATTTTAATTTTACTTTGCTAATAACATGCACTCTTATACACATTCGAATTATATTTAATATTCATTTTATTTATAAAAAATATCGATTTAGATACAACATTTGACATTTGTTTTAGTCAAAAGATATACACATTTTTGTAGATTTTCAAATGGATAGATACACAAGAAAACTTATAGTTGTTGGGGAAAATGGAAACGGGAAAAGCTCAACATGCAACACACTTCTTGAAAAAGAAATATTTGTCGGAGCGAATAGAGCACGCACCGCTCGATGTGAAACCTGCTTTATACATATGGGATCAGTTAATGTTTGGCTGGTTGATTCTCCAGGGATGTTTGAGCCAAACAGTGTCCTTGCAGAGCGTGCATTGGAAATACAAAATGCAGTTACAGAGTGTGAAGAACCTCACGCTTTTTTAATTGTGTTTAAAGCAGATGCACAGACGGATGAGCGCATAATACAAACTGTTGATATGCTTCGTCTTATCTTTGGACAACAGGTCATGAATCACGCAATTATTGTAATAACGAATGCAGCTAAGTTCAAGTCTGACGCAGATTTTCAGAAATTCTACCAGACTGGTAAACTAAAGGAAATAGTCAAAATGTGTAAAGAGAGGATTGTTAAATTAGAAAATATAAGATACACACAAGAGAGAAAGAAAGAAATGGTTGATGATATATTTGCGGTAGTTGATAAAGTATCAAGAATGGGAAAGCATTGTTTTAAAAACAGTGACTTGGAAATTCATAAAGACATGTTAGAACAGCATCTAGCCAAGGTAGATGCTGAAAAGCCGATAAATGAGCAAATAGAATTGATGAAAAAACGACTTAAAGAGCAGCTTCCATTGCAACAAGGCGACAGTGGTTACTATGATGTGGTAGATGGTCACTGACATTAAGCACATTTAAAGTTCTATATATATGAACAAAGTTTTTACCGCCTCTTATCCGAACAATTTTTGTTCCAGCTCAAAGATGCGTACGGGGAATGAGAAACAGATGCAAAAAGATACATAGTATGGCATGACTAGATGTAGTTATTGCTATTTATCTAAATGTATATACTCGTTCCTTTATATATTATGGTACGCCCTAAGAAGTGTATTTACTTAGAAAAATGTTGTTACTTTCATGTGTCGATGATATTATGATAATCATTACTTTATGTTATTTGTTCTGATGTTTGAATGTTTGACTTCAGTTTATCTTTACGCCGATTTCTACAACATTTTGTTTTTATCTCGGAGTATCCACCTAACCGATATTCCTGGACAACTACATTTCTACTCATCTAATATATTTCCTCGGACAAATGCCTGTTAAATTAAATTTCCGCAATGAATTGTCACAGAGAAATGACGCTTCGCCCGAGGACAGAACAAGGATCGCTTGATCCGGAGCTATTTCTTTTGAGCTAGGCGGGCGGACTTTGCCTTCAATGTTCGGTGGACAATAGTTGAGTTGTATAAGAAACAGTGCCTTCTGATTATTTTGAGCAATACACACGGCTACCTGGATGCGGCGTTCTTATTCGGATGCAGTAAATAAGATTTCCGCATATAAACTGTAAAATAATTTCATTGTGTGTTCTTTGTAACAAGCGGTCTACTGATAGATTGCAAACCAGCCGATTTGACGGAAATAACCAGTTTAAAACGAACCACTATGAAGTTTATCTTAAGTAATTTAAGAAAAGCGATAGTGTAATTGAAAATAAACATGTAGTTTTAAACATTTAATCCAATGAATGATTTTTTCCTATATATATTACAGATCGTGAATTGTGATAAAAGCAAATAAATACGAGTATCATGGTAGTAAATTTGAATTACCTCCCCTTACATGGAGCTAAATTATTGCACAGGTACCCATTTTCAAGGACAATCCGTGACCCATTTGGTATAAGTCTCGAATCAGAAATGAGAAGTCTGAAATTCGTGATCTGTTGAATGCTACATTTAGTACTGATACTATATTTTCAGTCTTACCTTATTATCCACTAAATGCAAGAATAATTGCAAGCACGTGTTTCCAAATAAAAGAAAGAAAATGACTAAAAATTTAATATGCAAATTTTTTGTCGGCGTTCAAACTTTTTTTCTCTTTCCGATCTAATACTGTCTACCACTAAACAAATTTCATATGCTGAAGAAGACAGAAAATAATTGCAATGTTGCCGGATCGGTTTGACTGATTCTGTTCATGAACTTAAGAGGTATTGCAAGCTACCGTCAATGACTTCTAGTCCCGGTTAAAGCCAAATTTGAACATGAAAATAGTAAATTTTGAATTAAGAATCATCCGCAGATGTGCTCACACGGAGGTTTTCATGTAACCTACAATACTATTCTTCTTTTGCATCACGGTAATGTCTAATAAGAATGTTACTAATTACTATTTATGTAAGGCTCGTTATGTGTCATTTGTGTTGTAATGTACATTTGTTTCATTTAATTAGAACATATTAAAATTGCATTGCTCATTTATTACCGAAAACATGACTATAAGCAGTTTCGTTTAATCTTTAACATATCATGTACATGCATTGTATATTATATAAATATATAATATATGATTTTGCTTCAGCAGATGTTGAGTTCCAAATCTTGCATTGGCCAATATTTTGTAAAAGTAGTCTCTACAAACAGGACAAATAGTTTAACTTTTTCTGTTTTGACGACATTAATTTGCTCTATTTTCACTAACAGTGTGCAGACATTAAATAACTAATATACTTGAAGGTTGGTGATCCAATCCGTTTTAAATTCATCTGTATTGTACATGAACGTAAGTGGATTGTCATTTTGGATTGATCAATTTCATATCATAAATTATGATATACATGTGCGTACATCATACTGTGTATATAACATGAATGAATAATCTTAACATGCAAATGTAAGGTAGTTAATTTCTTACGATTCTACTGAACGTTCCACATTTATGATGTCTTTACACCTTTAAGAATCTCTCACATATTTATTTTCTGAGATGTTTTTAAGTCTTTAATTTTTGTGATATACACTTTTCTTCCATGGATACCCTTAAATGACATATTATGGCTGATGCAAGTATATTAACCCATTCTAACGTAGGTCTTTATATTTAATCATTTAAGTAATATCAATATTTTGACATTAAGAGTTGTACTTCGTTTAAAATATATCTAATACCTTGTAAACACTCGAGACTTTTAACTTTGTTTCATCCTAACATAAGTGTCATTAGGTTGAAATGTATGCAGATAGGTATTATTAAGAACATTCAAGTAATGTCTTTTCCATTTAAAGTTTTTCGTGATAAGTTTTGAAAAAGATCTGCTTTTTTAGTTAAGTTAAACCGTAAACGGCACTGCAAGAATAGCTATTAGGGGAGCTTTATTCGTCGACACTTATTCAACGACACGTTACTTCCATTATCCATTTTTTCATTTTTAAATAAAGTAATTTTGACATTTTCAATTAATATCATCATCAAGATTACCTAAAAATACATAACAATACAATTAAACTTTACATCAGCAGAAACAATGAAAAGTTTAGTTTGCTTAAATATAATATAAAATTGCTAGAAAGACATACGTGAAGAGTATATACAGTTGTAACTTCAAAATTGTATAAGCATATTGCTTAAGAGATGATATAGGCAAGATGTGTAATACAACAATAGATAATTTTCGTCCTCATATTCGAGGAGCAGTTTCACTTATTACTTCAGGGAAGCTTTATTTTCTTATTTTTTATTGTTTTGTTGTTTCTTTGTCACTAAATATAAGATATAAAATTATTAATTTAATACAAAATAGTAGAATTTGTATATGTTTACGACATATGCATTGCGCTATTGTTTATATCAATATAATAGATTCTTAATGAATGTTGTCGTGCAATGACATCTTGATAAATGCGAGGCTGACGTCTTGAGGAACGTTCCATATTTATGATGTCTTTACACCTTTAAGAATCTCTCACATATTTATTTTCTGAGATGTTTTAAAACTCTACACTCTTTTGTCATATATAGAGGATATTGAATGAGTGTAGGTTTAATACTAAATTTATTGAACGAGTTGAATAAAATCATATTATGCGAGCCTCTGGCGAGCATAATATTATTCTATTCAACGAGCTCAATATATTTAGTATTGAATCTACACGAATATAATATTCTACTTATCACATATATAAAATAAGAACGGTAAACTGTTAACAAGAGTCACTTTTATTTGACGCGCCTATAGTGGTAACGCTAACACTAGCGCGATTTAACGCTATGTTTATAGCGCAAATGACGTAACGTTAAAGTGTTATTACACTAGTGTAATATCGTCTAGTGTAATATCGTTTTTATTAAATGGCTTTATTACACTCCTGCGCCGCGGTTTATGTGATTCCATGGATACCCCTCAATTGACATATTTTGGCTGATGGCTGACATGTATATAAACCATCTAAAGTAGGTCTCTATGTTTACATAATTTCAGAAATAACTTTATGTTTGCATTAAGGGTTGTGATCCGTTTAAAATATATCTCATATCTTGTAAACACTTAAGATTTTTAATCTTAAGAATTTTGTTTTATCTTAACATAAGTGTCATTGGGTTAAAATTAATGCAGATAAATAATATTAGGAACATTCAAGTATTTGTTTTTTCAATTTGATGTAATAAGTGATAAGTTATGAGAAAGGCTTGCCTCTTTAGTTAATTTACGTCGTATACGGCTATGAAAGAATAGCTATTAGGAGAGCATTATTTGTCGATACTTTACTTCTATTTCAACGAATAAAAATATAAACCTAAAAAATAAAGACATATATACGTCAAGGTACCACATAGTGACGAATACAGGTCCTCACGTACAAACAGGCAACTCATTTTTTAGCCTATTTTTTCATTTTTCATATTTTAAATAAAAGCAGTTTAAATTGTTATGACATCATCAATTAACATCATCGTCAACATAACTGAACAATGAAAAACAATTAAACTTGTTAACAGCTGTCGAGAAAAGCTTAAACAATAACACATATTCATTAAAGGAATAGGAATGGATGGATTGATGTGTGTCTAATATAAATATTCATCGTTTAAAAAGAGGAACCATGACAGTTTTCCTATTGACATCAACCCTCTAAGAGAGAAATTCGTGTTTTAAGACACTATTTTTTACTTGAGAAATAAGTTCATGGGCGCCGCCATTTTGGCGTTCTGTCATTCTCGCGAGACAGACGAGACCGAGATTGTGACGTGTTATACCCACTTCCGGTATAGGTGTACACGCTGGTACAACTGAAATATATCTTGATGAAGAACTTATTAATTTTATTGCGTACTTTATATATTATTTATGAAAACATCATATGGAACTGAATTGCTTTAATTAATTAATTGAAGACGCCGCGACATTAATTATCATTAGTCCGATATTCAAGCTTGCTGATGATCCCACCATATGATTTAAGCAATGACTGCTTAATTTTCAAAGATAAACCATAAATTTAATTTGGGTACTATGAGAAACTTCTTCAAATTGACGATATATCCTTTTATTTTGTACTTAATTTTCGCTAGACAAGCTGTCCAAATAGGGTACATCGCCGGTCATGTATCTTTTTTTTTCAGGTAAAATATCAACTAAATCCAATATGCTGAGGACGCGATCTTCCGCCATTGACGCTATAAATGAGAACGGGTTTATTCAGTCCCCTAAAGCTTTTTTCCACGTTATCTTCTTACCAAATTCTTTTCCCCAACAGATTAATAATATCTGTCATATGTTGCGGTTCGGACCGGAATATCCGTCCCGAGGGGACCCGCCCATTGGGCGGTAACGAGGCTTGCCGAGTTACCGCCCATGGGCGGGTTCCCGAGGGACGGATATTCCGACCCGAACCGCAAACATATGAAAGATATTTTTTCTTTCATATTCTGCCATATTATTTCATATATAAAATGGTTTACCTCAATATGATATATGTTCATGGAAATTAAAGTCATTTCATCCATAACTATTTTCTTACAATAGCGTATGAACTTACAACTTAAATAACAACGGCGAAATGACGTCATCCTAAGACATATTTCCCTTCTAAAACGACGTCATTTTAACGCGGTTCATTCATAAA